CTCTCTCTCTCTCTCTCTCTCTCTCTCTCTCTCTCTCTCTCTCTCTCTCTCTCTCTCTCTCTCTCTCTCTCTCTCTCTCTCTCTCACAGGCTGGTGAGAAAATACCATCAGCCGCTTTCCTTTATTCATAATGCAAATACCTCAAAGTACTACATTACCCATGAGCCCCAGGGCCTGTTTCCAGTTTCGTCCTCCTCTAAATCAGAATATTTCACTGACCCTTCAGAGGTGATCACATGACATCAGAGTGGGTGTTAATTCTCGTACGTCTGGGAAGAAGACGTCAGAGATGCTAATGAGGGATGGAGATGCATGTTTCTGTGGCAACCACATTCAGGAGGTGCTGGAGCTGCATCCCTGTTGCCATGGCAACCCATAGTGGCAGCTGAGGTGCTGATTTGATTTAAGAAGCAGAAGAAGAGCAGCGACAGGTTAGATTTCTTCTTCTGTGTGTTCAGAGCACTGAGGGTGTCCCACATTCCACCACCGTCACCGCTGAACATCCCCGAACCTCCCAGAACATCCCAGAACATCGCAGAACATCCTAGAACCTCACAAAACATCCCCGAACATCCCAGAACATCCCAGAACATCTTAGAACCTCACAGAACATGCAAGAGTTCCTCCTGGTGTTCCTCCATATTTTCCTCAAGGTGTCCCTCCTAGTGTTCCTCTATGTTTTGTTTCCATGTTTTTTTTCTAGGTGTTCCTCCAGGTGTTCCTCCAGGTGTTCCTTCAGTTGTTCCTTCAGGTGTTCCTTCAGTTGTTCCTCCATGTTTTTTCCAGGTGTTCCTTCAGGTGTTCCTCCATGTTTTTTTTTCCAGGTGTTCCTCCAGGTGTTCCTTCAGGTGTTCCTCTTGGTTTTCCTCCAGGTGTTCTTCTAGATGTTCCTCCATGTTTTTTTCCAGGTGTTCCTCCAGGTGTTCCTCCAGGTGTTCCTCCTGGTTTTCCTCCAGGTGTTCCTCCAGGTTTTCCTTCAGGTGTTCCTCCTGGTTTTCCTCCAGGTGTTCTTCTAGATGTTCCTCCATGTTTTTTTTAAGGTGTTCTTCTAGATGTTCCTCCATGTTTTTTTCAAGGTGTTCCTCCAGGTGTTCCTTCAGGTGCTTCTCCTGGTTTTCCTCCAGGTGTTCCTCCAATTTTTTTCCAGGTGTTCCTCCTGGTTTTCCTCCAGGTGTTCCTCCAGGTTTTCCTTCAGGTGTTCCTCCAGGTTTTCCTTCAGGTGCTTCTCCTGGTTTTCCTCCAGGTGTTCCTCCATTTTTTTTCCAGGTGTTCCTCCAGGTGTTCCTCCAGGTGTTCCTCCAGGTGTTTTTTCAGGTGTTCCTCCAGGTGTTTTTCCAGGTGTTACTCCAGGTGTTTTTTCAGGTGTTCCTCCAGGTGTTCCTCCTGGTTTTCCTCCAGGTGTTCCTCCAGGTGTTCCTTCAGGTGTTCCTCCTGGTTTTCCTCCAGGTGTTCCTNCAGGTGTTCCTCCTGGTTTTCCTCCAGGTGTTCCTCCAGGTGTTCCTTCAGGTGTTCCTCCTGGTTTTCCTCCAGGTGTTCCTTCAGGTGTTCCTTCAGGTGTTTTTTCAGGTGTTCCTCCAGGTGTTTTTTCAGGTGTTCCTCCAGGTGTTTTTCCAGGTGTTCCTCCAGGTGTTTTTCCAGGTGTTCCTCCTGGTTTTCCTCCAGGTGTTTCCACCAGGAGAAGCATAAAGTGTTCATCAATAAAGATGAACATTTTATGATGAATAAGATGGAGGGGAGTGGTGGCCCAGTGATTAGGGCATAGGCCTTGGAATCCAGAGGTTTTGAGTTCGAGTCCTACTGCCACTCTGGCTCCCTGAGCAAAGACCCTTAAAACTGGTCCCAGGGCGCCGCACAATGGCAGCCCACTGCTCCCCAAGGGGAGGGGTTAAATGGAGAGAGGGAATGTTGTTGCACTGTACTGGTGACAGTGGAATGACAATAAAAGATCTGTACAAAAATGAAGAAAAAAATATTAAATGGGAAATAAATAAATTTATGAATGAATGAAATTTTAGAGATTGGCTAAAATGAATAACCTAAAATACAAAATCAAAACTAACCGAATCATTTCTATGAATGAATTGATGTGATTTATTGAAACTGTGTGGGAGGAGCAGGAGGAGCAGGAGGAGCAGGAGGAGCAGGAGGAGGTTCTGGAGGCTCCTCTGGACCAGACTGGACCTCGTGGTTCTGAGCAGATTGTTCCTCCAGAACCAGGGATTATCTCAGGCTGCGCTGCGCGCTCTGGTGCTTTACTATGACGGGAGCGCGCTGCTCTCCTCACTTGGGAGCGCGCCTCATCTCGGGAGCGCGCATCAAAGATCCAAGGACAGAGCGACGGGCGCGTGAGCATCGGGTCACCTGAAAGTCCTCCGCCATCAAGAACCCGACCAGAACCAGGAGAACCTGATCCAGTCTGACCTCTGGGGGTGGGGGGTGGGGGGAATGATCTGAACCAACAGAACCAGGCGGAACCGGATCAGAGCCTCACTCTGGGAGAAAAAAAAAAAAAAAAAATCAAAACAAGGCATCTCGGAACCGACCTGGACCGGAACCTCCCCGCGTCATTCTGACAGAAACGAGGCGCCGAACCGGAGCGTGACCCGCCTGATCCAGACTGGGAGGGGTACCGAGCAGACGGTGGATCAACAGGACGGAACCAGAAGCAGGGTCTACAGCCGGACCAGTAGGTGTCTCCGGTTCGGTTCGGGTGTTTTTGGTTGTGGTTCTGTCTCTGAGACCCGCTGACAGCGGGGCCATTGCGGGCTCCCTGCGGGGCCCCTGCGGGCTTCATCCTTTTGTTTTGGTGTTTATTCCGCTTCGGTTCGGATGTTTTAATTGATTTTTGTTTTATTCTTTTGTTTGATAAACAGAATAAAACATTTTTTTGTAAAAATGAATTAAATAAATATGAGGAAGTTGAAGGAGAACCTAGAAAATGACCCTCCAAATGTTCCCACCAGGATTTTCCTTTTATCTCTAATTTGGCCCAAAGTGAAAAACGTCAAACATCCCAGAATAATTCGGACCCAAATATTCAGAACTTTATTGATGGTGATCATCCGGCTCCTCATCCAGAATCCCAACACAGAAAAATCCTGTTTATTTGGGGCCAATAGAAAAAAAAACTGTGGTGTTAAAGCAGCAGAGGTTACAGTAGAAGTGTATAAAAATAACAGAGAAAGTGGTAGAGTAGAAAAATAAACAAATAAAATCCTGTAAAGTGTTTTAACAATAAAAAACTGGAGAATAAATAATCAATATGCAGCTATGGACATTTTTACAGTAATTTGAAAACAGCAACAACATCAGAGATGTGCAGAATGACAGCAGCAGGTTATTTAACTGACTAAGGTAGAAACTGAGCAGAATCAGCATGAATGGAAGAACTGGTTGAGGTTACTGGGAACAGTGGTGGTTCTAGAGTCTTCCAGCTGCTGGGAGGAAGGATCTGTGATAACGCTCCCTGGTGCATTTAAGGTGCAGCAGTCTGTCACTGAAGGAGCTGTCCAGTTCAGCACCAGCTGAACGGATGGGGGGGGGACATTATCCAACAGAGATGTTCATTTAGTGAGGATCCGTCTGTTTCCCACCTCCTGCACCGAGTCCAGAGGGCATCCAATCAGAGCTGGCCTTCCTGATCAGCTGATCCAGCCGCTTCCTCTCAGCTACAGATGAGCCGCTGCTCCAACAGGCAGCATAGAAGATGGCTGATGCCACAGCAGAGTCAGAGGAGGTCTTTAGGAGCGCCCCCTCAGTCCAAAAGAGGAAGAGATGCAGCAGAACTGAACCAGAACACGACTTTTAAAGCTGCTCAGGTTTCAGATCCATTATGGTTCCTTCTTGCATTAAAAAAATACACCAGAACCAAAACCGAACCCAGACTGGAGGAACCGGAGCAGCAGGAGGCCCAGCTCTGCAGGTTCCACCTCAGAGGGTTCTGGTTCCAACAGAACCCTGGACCTACAGGTGACCCTCCTCCTGGTCCCTGACTATCAGGTGGACTCGCTGATGGACTGAGGTCATGGGGAGCAGAGGTCTCCAGAATGGAGCTGCTTGGTCACATGATCAGCTGCAGGATGGGCGACGCCCCTCAGGTGTGAATCCATGAGGATGAGGCAGACATGAAGGAATCCAGCTTTGGAAGAATGAGGAACATTAGAAGCTCAGAGTTTATAGGAAAGTTAAACGTTTATTCCACATTTTAAAGTCTTCTTTAATAGTTTGAAATGATTGAATAAAGTGAGTGTTAATGTTCATGTGAAATGTAAAACGTTTTGGGCCTAACTCTGCTCTGATTGGCTCATTCTTTCCACCATGCAGCAGTAACTTTCTGTAACCAAAACAGTCCCGTGTGCAGCGATGTTTTAACCATGTCCTTCAATGTGTCTAAAACTGGCAGCTTGTCTTTAAAATATCCGCTCTCTGATTGGTTCCTTCCTGTTTCCACCGACCGTTATTCACTCATTTAAAATCTGGCTCTCCTTTTCAGACTGATGGGCTGCGTTTAAGCCTCGAGCTGAATATTATATCTTCAATAACTGATCAGTAAAGTTCCAAAAGAGTTAAAATCAATCCACTGGACTTTGTCTCCAAGTTTGAAGACGTTTCTCTTCCATCCAGGAAGATTTTTCATCCAAATGTCAGAAATAGCGTTTAGTTCCAGGTTTTATCCAGCAGCCCAACAAAGCCTGGTTTTAGTTTAGAAAACATGCAAATAGAAACGGATGAACGGGTCCCCCCCTTTGGAATGGGGAATAGTAGGTTTTTGAAAGCCTCCAACATGCCCTGCCCCTCCTATAGATGCGGGGTCCATGCTCCAACACCTTCTTGTCTGACTCTTTATCAACAACCGTGCCTCTCTAATGACTCCTCTTCCTCATCCTCTTCCTCAGTGGAGCTGCGCGGCGTGCTGCTGCTGGCCGTGCTGCACTGCTGCTCAGTGGCGCTGTGCGGCTGCGAGCCCCGCCTGGTCAACGTGGGTGCTGTCCTGAGCCAGAAACGCTATGAGCAGGTGTTCAAGGAGGCGGTGAGTCAGGCCAACGCTCTGTACGGGAAGGACAAGTTCAAGATGAACGCCATCTCTGTGACGCACAAGCCCAACGCCATCCAGATGGCGCTGTCCGTCTGCGAGGACCTCATCTCCAACCAGGTGAGGTCACATGACCAGACTCTCTCATCCCATACATCGATTGGTAACCATAGTTACCAATGATGAAGCAGGTCCCTATGTCCTCCAGCAGTCTAAGCCTTTAGCAGCAGAACTATAGAGATAGCTCAGCTTCTGGAGCAGCTGCAGACTCTTAATGTTTCTCTACCATTTCCTTTTGCTTTCCTCTGATGTTTGGTTCATGGATGTAGTTTGCATCCTGTATGTTATTGCTGTGACGGCGGGTTTCTGTCTGGGAGTTAAAGGGTTGGTTGGTGCGTCATTTCAGCCCATTTCAGGCCTCCAGGCTGTGTCCTTCCTTTCCAGGCAGTTTAAATGGTTGTGTGACAGTTTAGTTGCTTCAGGGACGAAGAGATGTTTGCTGAGAAATAAATGTTTGATGAATATGATTAGGATAACATGAGGAACAGAGGCAGAAGTGACAGAATGAGTTCACATGAACCAACTCCTTTTTATTTCACCTGCCCGGGAAGCTGAGCGCGGCCGTCAGCGGCGTTGCTGAGAGGAGCTGATGCTGCAAGGATACAATCGAAGGTGACACATGAAAAAAGCTCTACGTGAACAAAGACGCGGAGCAGCTCCATGCTTCCAATCAGAGCTGCGCTAAATATAACCACAAAGAGACAAATAAAGGTGCAAAAACAGCCTGAAGGCAGCTGAGCTGGAAACATTCAATCCCTGAAACGGAAACAGCCCGCAGAGTTCTGGCTCAGCTCTTCATCCACACCCAAAGAGAAGAAGAGGAGGCTTCAGGAAACGCTGCTGAGGTCCAAGAGCAGGAGCAACCCCACCGGGGGACAGATGACGCCTTTCCTCTGAGGATGGAATGAGGCCAACATGGCGGCAGCAGTAGGTTGGACAGAGAGGGACGTCAGATTAACGTTCTCTCAATCTGTAATCCCTCCATCCCTCCTCTGGGAGGATGGAGGGATTATCCAGACACAGTCAGTTCACCTCACAGCTTTTAATCTAATATTTTTAGTTTGTTCCTATCATGCTACAGGTCTGAGCCCCACTTCCTGAGCCTGAAAACTTCCGCCTCACTTTCTCATCAGATCAGCTGGAAGCCAAAGAGGGTTAGAAGGAAGAACTGAGGGCCAGAGGCAGGCAGGGAGCAGCAGGGCCTCCTTAAAAACCACAGAGCTGTAGAAAACACTTCTATCTGTTCTAGATCACAAAGGATAGAGTGTCCAGCTTCTATCCTGTTTCTCTATCATCTCCCCCATCACAGCTGGTAAACTCTGCGTCCCTCACTATCTGCTCCACTGCTGCTCCTCAGTCCAGCCTAAAGTATGTTATAATCTCCTTGTTACCAAAGCTGGGCATACACTGTATGATTTTTTTAATCGTTACTCGCAGCTAAAGCTCAAACTGTACGATGAAACTGCAGGGTTTAAAAGTTCACCGCTCGCCATGTTTGTTCTCTCACTGCGACCCGACGCTCTGATGCGATCTATCTGCTCACACTGTAAGTCTAAAAACCAGGTGGGACTCAGCTCCGCAGTGAGATGGCGCTACTGGGACTCGTCTATCTGGAAGCCAAACCAGTAGCAGAGGAACATGAAGCTCACTAGAGTGAAACGCGCTGCCTTGGATATTTGGGCGATTTAGTGCTGAAAGCCCTAAAAAGAAAAGGAGACGACGTATTTGGACAAAGACATGGCTGAGCTAACGAGGCTACTACGGTCTGTCAGTTTGACAGAAAGAACTCCATTTCACTCATTGCCCCCCCCGCCATGCTGCTGGGTTTACCTCTGAGAGGAAGAAGAAGAAGAATCCTTGTTTGCCCACTGAGTGATTTGCCCACGACCGCCTTACGACAGCTGACTGAATTTCAAACGTTTGATTTTCTCCCGACCTTCTGATTCCTGATGGGGGGGTGGTCGTTAGAGGCTGATCGCCCCTCGTTACCCCCTGGTCACTACACCACACCATCAGGACTGGAAAATCAACCAGAAAAAGGCAAAAAATCGTAGAGTGTACGCCCGGCTTAAATGAAAACCTCAGTCTGGTCTGAAATTAGCCAAACCGCTCTGGTTGAATCTGGACCACATGTTCAGACACGGTTCCTCATCAGCAGCAGTTTCCTCCAGCAGTAACAAAACGCAGCGGTTAGGGTCACTGGTCAGTGTGTCTCTGATGGTCTGGAACCTTCATAACCTGACGGCATCCGTTCGCTAATGCTGATGTTTTTTTAGCCGTTAGCATTTTGAGTCCAGTGGTGCCGCCTGATGATAATGTTCGGTTCTGTAGTTTAATCAGTGGGATATTCTTCCTCAGGTTTTTGACCCACCTCTTCAGTGGAAGTTGTTCAGTGAGAAGCTCTGTTAGCCTCTTAGCATGCGAAATGCCACCCAGTGCACCTGATCCTCAGGAATACCAGATCAATTTTTCAGCAGAGATGTCAGTAAAGCTGGACCTCATTTTCTTCTTCTGCAGGTGTATGCCATCCTGGTAAGCCATCCTCCACAGCCCAATGATCACTTGACCCCCACTCCGGTGTCCTACACGGCCGGGTTCTACCGTATCCCAGTGGTCGGCCTGACGACGCGCATGTCCATCTACTCTGACAAGGTCAGCTTCAGTTTGTCTCCAGTCTGTGTCATGGTGTTCCTCAGGGCTCTGTTCTTGATCCTCTACAGGAACAAACAACTTCTGAAATCTAATATTAAAGATATTTATTGAAGTGTAAAATAATATCCTAATATCTCAGCTTTTAAAAACTGGAGCTTTGATGGGCGGTTTTAAGGGAGTCCCACAGGGCAGCACTTTGGGACAACTGCTTTTCCTGGTCTACATTAGCTTCCAAGTTTAGAAGATTTGTCATTTGGCCTCCTTGGTTATGCTGATGATGGTGTTCTCAAACATGGACTCAGTTAACAGCCTCCTGAAAGCAGATCTTCAGCTCCTCTGTAAGGGTTTGCAAGACAATCTGGTCTCTCTGGGAGAAAACTTGAATCCAGGCAGGATTGATGTCATTGTTAAAAGTGTCTTCAGCCCAGAAATTCCCAGCCCTCCCAGTCAGACACTAGCTGCCTTAGAGGATTTTGGAAATGCTCCCCCCATAGGGTTTCAAGTGGAGTCACAGCATTTGATCTGGTTCAGGAGACCAAAATGAGACACATTAAGATAAATGATGTCAATTTGACTTCCTCCTCCTCACCTCCAGAGCATCCACCTGTCTTTCCTGAGGACAGTGCCCCCATACTCCCACCAGGCACAGGTCTGGTTCGACCTGATGAGAGAATTCAGATGGAACCACATCATCCTGATCGTCAGCGACGACCATGAGGGCCGAGCCGCCCAGAAGAAGCTTGAGACGCTGTTGGAGGAGCGTGAGACCAAGGTAAGCTCACGCAAAGAAAAAGAACAACTCTGCACACATTCGCTGTCATCATCACACATGAAGGCACATGTTCAGAATCCAGATATACACATATGAACAGAGTTGGTGAGAAGGTGTGAGATAGGATCAGTGCACAAGCGGCTGACTCAGTGGTTCTGGTGACCCCATTTATTTAGGCGTCCGATGTAAGTCAGCGCGAGCTCAAAACGCGTTGAGCGTGTGGTGAGGGTGAGGTCAGGGCAATGTTTGGGCAAAGTCGGGGCGAGGTCAGGGAAAGTTTGTTCTTTTGAAGTCGGAGTAAGGTCAGGGCGTGGTAAGCGGAGGTAAGTCCAAGGTCTTGCAAGGTTTTGGTAAGTGCGAACTCAGAGTGAGGTCAGGGTGTGGTAAGGGCGAACTAAGAGTGAGGTAAGGGTGTGGTAAGGGCGAACTAAGAGTGAGGTAAGGGTGAGGTAGGTGCGAGGTAAGTGTGAGGTCAGGTTGAGGTAAGGGCGAACTCAGAGTGAGGTAAGCGCAAGGTCAGAGAAAGGTAAGGGCGAGGTCAGGGCGTGGTAAGGGCGAACTCAGAGTGCAGTCAGCGCGTGGTAAGGGTGAGGTAGGTGCGAGGTCAGGGCGTGGTAAGGGCAAACTCAGAGTGACGTACGGGGCGAGGTCAGGTTGAGGTAAGGGCTAAGTAAGTGCGAGGTCAGGGTGAGGAAAGTGCGAGGTAATGGTGAGGTAAGGACGAGATCAGGGCGTGGTAAGGGGAAACTCAGAGTGAGCTAAGGGGCGAGGTCAGGATGAGGTAAAGGCAAGATCAGGGCGAGGCAAGGGCGAGCTCAGGGGGAGGTAGGGGCGAGGTCAGGACATGGTAATGCAGGGCATGAAACACACATGTCAGCAGTAGTTGTGTGCGGTACGTGTGTGCGGTACGTGTGTGCGGTACGTGTGTGCGGTACGTGTGTGCGGTACGTGTGTGCGGTACGTGTGTGCGGTACGTGTGCGGTACGTGTGTGCGGTACGTGTGTGCGGTACGTGTGTGCGGTACGTGTGTGCGGTACATGTGTGCGGTACGTGTGTGCGGTGTGTATATCTGTGAATGTGTTTAGTCTGACTCAGTGTGGGAAGTTTGCGTTTCCGCGCCAACAGTCAGCAACTCTGTGAGGCCTTCATCTTTCCTGCAGCACATGAACAATGTTCTTCCATTCCTACATTGCCGTCTCATCTCATCTATCTTTCACAGATCTATACTTTTTTCCTGCATTTCTTTTTCTACCTCATCCGTCCTCCATTGCTTCTTCATCTCCCCGTCGTATTCCTGACTTTCTTTCTGCTGGACGCTTCATCATCATTACCTTTGTGTCCTTTCTGTAGATTCCCACAGTGACAGTCTACCAGCTGTTTGTTTTACCAGCTGTTTGTTTACCAGCTGTTTGTTTACCAGCTGTTTGTTTACCAGCTGTTTGTTTACCAGCTGTTTGTTTACATGTGGGCTATCCAAGGGACAGAATGAGCCGCATAGGAAGGCGGTCCTGGCCTGCTTTTATATGATATGAAGTTATTTGGTGAGTGATGTGCTGCAGGTACTGACCCAAACCTTCTGTCAGACAGTTTCTAAACTTCTGATTCCACCTGAAATCCAAACCAGTTAAAGGTTTACAGGCTGTGAGATCAGGTAGGATCTAAAGTGGCTCCGAAAGGCCATGGCTCCTTTATTAACCACTGTCTGGAAAGCTTGGGGCCTTTCAAAAGCTAAGATTAAGGCTATGGTTTGCATTTGTAAGTGTTGACTGGCACAGACCGGTTTGGTTGTGGATCTGGAGACCTTGATCTCAGGGCCTAAACACATCGCTTCCGTCTGACTCTACAAGCTTTGATGTGTTTTTCTGCCGCACTAGTTCCATATACTGTCCTTCTACTAACCATCATAGTGGAGAGAAATAGTTTTCAGAGGAATATGTACCAGATTATCCACCATAACAAATGGAGCCGTAAACCAAAATCTGTGGTTGCTGCTCTATGAAACTTCAAGCTGTTTCATTTTATCTGTTGTTTGTACTCCTGGGCTCCTACAATGAGTTAGTTTACTGTTTATCAAATGTCTGACTTACCCTGAGATTCAGAGATTTTACTTTCCTGCCACTCTCTTCCTGCCAGACTCATGACATTCCTGTTAAAGTGGGTTGTAGGTTGAAAACGGTAGACTATGGTGGTCGGACCTTCTTGCGACTTCATACCATCTGTTTGTCCGTTGGATTGATGCTAAGTCTGGTCCGGTGCCTCTAAAGCTGGAGTCTCAAACTCCGTTTACCTGCTGGAGGTAGAGTCTGGGTGAAGCATCGAAACATCGAGTTTTCCACAAGAGAAGCTCTTACAAAAACATTACAATGTTATCAAATGTCTTTATTTTTATTTTTTTTTACATTTCTTTGGAGTTGCGCAACAAAACAAGAAACCAATTAAATGTTTCTTGAAACAGTATTTAAGTTAATTAAGTTTAATTGACTTTAAATTTCAAATAAACTGGGCATGGTGCGCACCTGTGGCTCGTTAGGAGGCTCTGTGCTGATGCATTAATAAAGGCAGGGATCTGTCAGCTGGACGCCACAGTGTGGTGCCTCAGTGGCTACAGTGCTGCACGGACTGCCTCGCTCCATCTGCACGCTCACCTGTCGCTCACCTGTCGCTCACCTGTCGCTCCGTCACCGGTTCCATCACAGAAGTGACCTCTGCAGAATCCGTCCGTCTGAACCACTCCCCTCGGATCGTTCTCTGAGCTAACTGATCTTCCTCTAATCAGCTCTTCTCGGTCCTGCTCCTGCGTCTCTGTCAGCCGGTTCTCCGTTCATTGTTCCTAAATAAACATCTTAAACCGTTTTCTGCCTCCTGATTGTGATCTGAATGTGGGTCAAACATTTAAAAGCCATGGCATATGAAACATAGCTATTTCTGTTATGAATGTTTAGTTGTTTGGGATAGCAGTTTAACCCTGTTTAAATGCAAATTTTTGTTTTTATTCACGACATTATTTGGGTCAGGGTTTTTTTTTCCACACCATTTTAGCCCATGATGGTGAGCTACCGAATCACTGCAGCTTCGCGGCAGGATTTAAGTGAACAAAACTACTTCATATTTTCGGACCTATTGCCCTGGATCGATCATAGACTAAAAACAATCAGATTATTGATTGATGAAACATTAATCACTCTGCAAAGAAAAAGAACAGAAGAAGAGAACAAAAAATCTTGGGTGTTATCAGGGTTTATTTTTATTTTTTATTGTTTATACTTATAGAAAAATATAAATATTGAGTACCTTCCTAAATATATGCAAAAATATACATTTGAATACAATAACTTAAACTTACTTCCTGTCTGTCTGTGTTTTATTTACACACAGGCGGGCTCCTCAGACGAACCTTTCTGATTGCCTATTAGCGTATTTAGCTGTAGTCAGGCGCGTAGCCTTAATTACGTTACACTGAGCAGAAACTTCCGGGTCTAGACTGGATGGTGAGGCGGAAGCGGCCACAGAAAATGAGCATGTGCCGCATGCTAATAATGACAAATAGAAAATCCAAATACGCCCGGCCTATGTCCCGCCCCCAGGAGCAATATACTCTGCCGTGATTGGTAAGTTCGTAAGTTCACCTAACAGTGAATGACTTGTTTGCTCAGAGATGCTGGTTCGGACTCTGAACCTTGTAGTGTTTACCGTAATCCTAAAGACTCTTACTTTCTGCACCTGCTGGTGCTGATTGAGACCTCTGGTCCGAACTTCCTGATGATATCAGTTTTTTTATAAGTTTCATATATCCACTGGTTTTAATTCCCACCTGGGTCTAAAGATTCTTTCACCTCCACAAACATTTAGGATTTTTACAAATAAGTGAAGATATATTTCCATTTCAGGCTCTGTCCATGGTGCTGATGTCTCAAAGCATGGTGTTTTTGCCTGGTAATACATTCTCTAACTACTCTGGCTAGTGTTCCTGTCTCCATGGCTGCAGTTTAAACCGGACCTAGCTGGTTTAGACTCTGGTCTTGGACCCTTTCTTCTGGACTTTTTGAACTAGACTTGAGCAGCTGTGGTCTGTACTGGAACACATTGGTCCCAAATCAAGACAGACTGGTCTTTTGGACCTTCAGGTTCAGTTCAGTTTCCCTTTACAGGCTGTATTCTGCTAATTGGGTGGTTCGTACTGGAGCCGGTGGGTCCAGGTACAGTACAGATGTGGTGAGAAAGGGCGGAAATTATTTCATTCTTGGTGGCGGTTTGAGTGCCTTTATTTTTCTTGGTTTACTTTTCAGTTGAGCTGGTTTCTCTCTCCTCCTCTTCCTCGCTCTCTTCCTGTCTGTTGATTCATGGCATGTTTTCAGGTCTTCATCTGTGTTCTGGTTTCTCATCACCTCGACTCTGATGGAGATCAGAGCCGTGCAAACACACCTCAGCTTCAGGGCTCTGGCTGACTGTCCATCACCTCCGCTTTGTGTGGTAGTTGCTTATGAGAATGCAGACAGGAAGAGGTCAACCAGTTGCTGAGTGCAGACTGAGGCCTGACCTGAGCTGCTGCTGCCTGGCGGGGCAGGAGGAGCTGCATTGTGCTGATTTGTACCGATCCTGATCCAGCAGGTCAGGATGAAACCTCCTATTATCTTGTCAGATGTTCCAGATGATGGTTTGTGAAACAAACAGCTCTGACCCTCATTGGTGGCCAAGTGGAGGTCAGGGATGGTTTGGTCAGAGTAAAGAATAGCTGCTCTGATAGAAACAGGACAGAACTTTTCCTTAGGTCGGAATAAGGCTGCCGAAGTGATGAATATTAGAGAGACTTTTTAAAGAGGGAGGGGAGTCATGAATATTCCAGCACATTAGTTAAAGTAGGTGAGCACAGCTTGAGCTCAGCTGTTGTCTCTGGGATGTAAGCTCATAAATATCCCAGTAGCCCCGGGAACACAGAAACACACCGCCACCAGCAGTAAACACTGAACCATGTCCAGCATCTACCAGGAGGAATGGACCGCAATGAAATGGAACAGAGACGGGGGGAGGAGCTACCAGGGACGGGGATCACTGGTTGGACCAGAACCAGGCAGCAGGTGGAGGAATACTGACAGGAAGGACACCGCTATAAAGGCTGCTGTGTTTCCTCCTGGTTCTGAGGACCAGTACCAGCCCTGTTCTTATGGACCTCTGAGCCCTCTGTGTTCTGACAGGCTTTTATTTTGAAACATTTCAAAGGCTTAAATAGAATGAAAAAGCTCCAATCAGGCAGAGCGTTAAGACCACTGACAGGTGAAGTGACTGTCCCTGATTCTGATGGCACCTGTTAGTGGGTCGGGCACATCAGGCGGTCGGTCTGTTTTATCCTCAGGGTCTGACTCTGCTCTTTAGTTGACTGAAGCCTCATTTCCACTACCCTTGTGGAACCGTGCCGAGATCAGTCCGAGCACGGTAACAGAGATAACTGTTGAGTGTAAATGGTACGCAGAACTGATCCGGAGCACGCCAGACACAACTGCAGAGACGGCTTCCTGGGTTGGTCCAGTGCAGAGAGGAGAAAGAAAAACCCTCCGGTGACTGGATACAGAGATGGAGAATTAGGGCCAGACTAGAGATTTTTTTTTTTCGAGAATAAAATCATAATATCACAAGAATAAAATCATAATATCACAAGAATAAAGTCGTAATATCACGAGAATAAAGTCGTAATATTATGAGTGCTGCCCCCTTGACGTTGAGCAGTGGGTACTGCAGTTGATTCAACATCATCTTAGTCAGAAAAAAGTAAGGAATCATTCTGTTGCCTCTACACCAACTGAAGGGTCTGGTCCAGATCTAAAGGTTCTGGTCAAGATTCTGTAGGTTCTGGTCCAGATTATGAGGGTTGTGGTCCAAATTCTGAAGCTTCTGGTTCAGATTCTGAGGGTTCTTGTCTAGAAGATGATGTTCTGGTCCAGATTTTGAGGGTTCTTGTCCCGAAGGTGGGGGTTCTGGTCCAGATTCTGAAAGTTCTGGTCCAGATTCTGAGTGTTCTTGTCTCAAAGCTGAAGGTTCTGGTACAGATTCTGAGAGTTCTTGTCCAGTAGCTGAAGGTTTTTGTCCAGAAGCTGAAGGTTCTGGTCCAGATTCTGAAGGTTCTGGCTCAGATTCTAAAGATTCTTGTTCAGATTCTGAAGGTTCTGGTCCAGATTCCGAGGGTTCTTGTCCCGAAGTTGGAGGTTCTGTTCCAGATCCTGAGGGTTCTGGTCCAGATTCTGAAGATTCTGGTCCAGATTCTGAGGATTCTTGTCCACAAGCTAAAGGTTCTGGTCCAGATTCGGAAGGTTCTGGTCCAGATTCTGAGGGTTCTTGTCCAGAAGCTGAAGGTTCTGGTCCAGATTCTAAAGGTTCTGCTCCAGATTCTGAGGGTTCTTGTGCAGAAGCTGAAGGTTCTGCTCCAGATTATGAGGGTTCTTGTGCAGAAGCTGAAGGTTCTGGTCCAGATTCTGAGGGTTCTTATCAAGAACATGAAGGTTTTTTTTCCAGAAGCTGAAGGTTCTGGTCCAGATTGTCTTTTTGACTGTTTTTTAGCTTTATTGCCAGTCATGTCAGTATGGAGCAACAAAATAAACTCTTTGCATTTAACACAACCCCTTGGGGAGCAGTGGGCTGCCATTGTGTGGCGCCCGTCAAGCAGTGAGGGGCTAAGGGTCTTGCTCAGGGACCGAGAGTAGCAGTCAGTGGGAGTGGGGCTTGAACTCAAAAACCCCAAAACCCAAGTGCAATGCTTTAACCACCAGGCCACCACTTCCTATTCTGAGGATTCTGGTCCAGATTCTGAGTGTTAGGATGTTGGAGGCCATGTTGGTGGCCATGTTGGAGGCCATGTTGGAGGCCGTTCTTTTTTTTTTTATTAAGTCATAAAGATTTACATGAAAAAAATACTCTCAGAGAGGATAGCAAATGTGTACATGAACAGATAAAGATCAATTGCAATACAAGAAAAACAAAAAAGTAAGACATCTAACATGAGATTTATCTCAGAAAACATTTAACTCATAGACAGAGCTCCATGTTGGAGGCCATGTCGGAGGCCATGTGACTGGCCAAGTTGGTGGCCATGTTGGAGACCATGTTGGTGGCCAGTGTGGCGGCCATGTTAGAGGCCATGTTGGTGGCCATGTTGGAGACCATGTTGGTGGCCAGTGTGGCGGCCATGTTAGAGGCCATGTTGGTGGTCATGTTAGAGGCTATGTTGGACGCCACGTTCGAGGCCATGGTGGCGGCCATGTTGGAGGCCATTTAAAAAAAAAAATCTTTATTAAATCATAAACATTTACATGTAAAAAATCTCTCAGAGAGGATAGCAAAGGTGTACATGAACAGATAAAGATCAATTGCAATAAAAGAAAAACAAAAAAGTAAGACAACTAACATGGAATTATCTCAGCAAATTTAAATCAAACATAGACAGAGCTCCATGTTGGAGGCCATGTCGGAGGCCATGTTGGTGGCTATGTTGGTGGCCATGTTGGAGGCCATGTTGGTGGCCATGTTCGAGGCCATGTTGGCGGCCATGGTGGCGGCCACGTTGGAGGCCATATTGGAGGCCATGTTGGAGGCCATGGTGGAGGCCATGGTGGTGGCCATGTTGCTGGCCATGTTGGTGGCCACGTTGGCAGCCATGTTGGAGGCCACGTTGGAGGCCATGGTGGCGGCCATGTTGGTGGCCATGTTGGAGGCCATGTTGGAGACCATGTTGGAGACCATGTTGGCGGCCATGGTGGTGGCCATGTTGGAGGCCATATTGGTGGTCATGTTGGAGGCCACGTTCGAGGCCATGGTGGCGGCCATGTTGGTGGCCATGTTGGAGGCCATGTTGGAGACCATGTTGCTGGCCATGTTGGAGGCCATGTTGGAGGCCATGTTGGAGGCCATGGTGGTGGCC